GCCCAAATGCTCCGAGCAGCCTGCAACAAGAAAGAATTAGGGCACAGCTGAAATCCAGAAGGGAAAGGAAACGGGCTAAGATCCACGGGGAACAATGTCTATTTCTTAATCTGTCTCCTGCCCCAAATAGCTCTGCTCTCCTCCCCCACTTGTGTTTACCGGGTCTGTTTCTTTCTGTGGCAGCAGATGCCATGAGGCATTAAAGTAGGTCACAGAGGGCAGCGATGAACCCACAAAGGCCCTCAGGCCACGACCTCTCCTGAGCTCAGTCCCCTGGCTCCCGAGTCAGAGTGGCAGAGCACAGACCCAGGGGACCCCGTGCTCTCCGAGGCCCCCTGGCAGGGCCCGAGCTCCCTAGAACCACAGCGAGCGGGGACTCCTCGGTCCAGCCTGTGAGTGGCAGGGCGCCTGTTCTGAGCTGGCAGCAGAGAGGACAGCACTGGGCTGGGCCGCAGCCCTCCCTTCCCATCCTGCCAGCCCCTCCAGCCCCTCCTACCGCAGCCCTGCTGGAGTGCCCTCAGGAAGGCCCCTTCTTCCCAGGACAGCCTGGGAACCACATGTTCCTGCTGTTTCCCCTGGGAAACCCTGGCGTCCTTTCCACACAGACCCCCCAGGGCCAAAACCGAGGCTCCCAGCCTGCTCCAGGGGCAGCGCTGTGTCATGGGTAGAAGGCAAATTACAGAGTCAGGAAACTGGATTTCATCCCCAGTCACCTGAGGCACGGGGCAGTAGGAGCTTGCCCAGAATAACCCAGCTGGGAAGCAGCAGAGCCCGCGCCCACAAGGACCCACGGTACACCCCAAGCCGCCCGCGTCTGCCTCCCTCACGGCCTGACCCCACAGCCCTCCTTCAGACCCTCTCTGCCCAGCATCCAGTCCTCACAGCGCCTTTCTCTCCCCAGGTTCTTTCGGAGCACGGCTATGGCCTGATCACGACCGACATTCGGGAGGGACAAACCTTCTACTCCGCGGAGGATTACCATCAACAGTACCTGAGCAAGAACCCGGATGGGTACTGCGGCCTCGGGGGCACCGGAGTGTCCTGTCTGCTGGGTGTTACGGTCGAAAAAGGTATATGTAGGAGCCCTGGCCTCCAGTGTGGCTGTATTTGGCGATGGAGCCCAATAAGTAAATAAGGCGTAATTACATAAAGAATTAATTAAAGTTAATCGAGGTCATAAGGGTGGAGCCTTGATGTTGTAGGATTAGTGTTTTTATAAGAAGAGAGTCCAGAGTGTGTGCTCTCTCTCACTCTGTCTCTCTGAATCTCTTCCTGCCTCCATGAACACTCACTGTGGAGGGCCATGTGGGGACACAGTGAGAAGCTGACCTTGTGCAAGCCTGGAAGAAGGTCCTCACCAGGAACTGAATAATCTGGCACCTTGATCTCAAACTCCCAGCCTCCAGAACAGTGAGAAAATAAATTCCTGTTGCATAAACCACCCAGTCTGTGGCATTTTGCTATGGCAGCTGGAGCAGACTAAGACAGTATTAAAAAATGGTTCCCCCCCACAAGTTTGGCCCTTGAAGTCACAGCAAAAAGGCCTTCAACAAACTGGACAATTCTTTTATGGTTCACATCAGTGGCTTTTTCGAAGAGCACAAAGTGTTAAGGCTTTTTTTAAAAAACTCTGATTTATACGGTATAATTTATATTTATTTAGCAAATTCACCTTTTTAGTCTGTATGGTATTATGAATCCTGACAGATATCAACAGCTGTGTAACCACCACCACAATCCAGACACAGAAACTTCCTATCCTCCCAAGAAAAGTTCCCCTTGCCCCTAGTAACCCATCCCCTTCCCCAAACCTCATTCCCTGACAACAACTGATATATTCTCTCGGCCTGCTCTTTGTCTTTTCCAGAATGCCATCTAAATGGCATCATACAGAGTGTAGTGTCTTGTGTCTGGCTTCTTCAAGTTAGCATAATGAATCTGAGATCATGTTGTTGCATGTATATATAGGGTTTTTTTTTTGTTTTTTGTGTGTTTTTGTGTTTTTGTTTTGTTTTTGTTTTGTTTTTGTTTTTGTTTTTGCTGAATAGTGGTGCTCTTGTCTGGATCACAGTTTTATCCATTCACCTGAGGAAGGACATGTAGGGTTTACCAGTTTTTAGCGATTATGAATGAAGCTACTATAAACATTGTGAGACTTTATGGCGGACACATCTTTATATAATGGTGTTTTGATAAAAGTGTGAATTCACCTACTGATGTGCTGGGAGATTTGAGGATTCTTTGGGGTCTAAGTAGATAATGCATATGCTGTGTTTTCTTGTTCTGGACTCCAGGACCAGCCATGGACACGGTGTGGTTAAATTGAGCAGGATTGTGGATGACACTGGGATTTCTTTATTTCTGCCCTGTTCCACCTCATACACACAAGCTCTCCAGCACCCCAAAGGATGAAAACATTTATAGCCTCAATGAAATTCAACTTCATGCTGTTTTCCAAAGAACAGTAGTGAGGAAGCTTTCTCTCCCATTTCAGGCCCCCTTCTAGCATAGAAAAATATGAGCTAAGTGGATGAATTCTGATGCTTTGCTTACAGCTATGAGAAGTATTGTAAATGCTTATTGTGTGAAAAGTCTATACCCAATAACATGAACTAACTTCCTAATATTTCATCTGCCTTTTTCTTATTCTGATGGGATATTTCCAGAGTTTTAAAGATAAATTTTAAAGCCTCTAGACAGTAAGGCAAAGAAAAATGTCTATAGTCTTTTCCCCTGAAATGGAAATCCATTATGTATAGAATTTTGGAGAATGTTTACATCTCTAGCTCCTTGCCAGTCTTTAGTAATAATCCTTGCTCCCCATATACCTGTCATATGCATGGTGATTTCTTTTGAGAATTATTCAGTGGCGGCATAGTAGGGAAGACTGTTTATTTAGATTTGAGCTTTATTCAATAAATTGACCTCTTTCTCCTGCTCAAACTTGTACATTATTCCAGCTCAATGTTTTAGTGTACCATTTGAAATTGCCAATATTAAGACTATTTTGGAGCTTCTAAAACAGCAATTATATATGGTTTAACTTGAAAGTTCCCATAGGGTGCACCTGGGTGGCACAGTATGTTAAGCGTCTGACTCAGTCTCAGCTCAGGCAGTGATCTCCTGATGTCAAGCCCTGCATCAGGTTCTGCACTCAGCGAGGAGTCTGCTTGGGATTCCCTCTTGCTCTCCCTATGCCCCTCCCACTCATGATCTCTCTCTCTCTCTCTCCCTGTCTCTAAAACAAATAGATAAATATTGGGGTGTCTGGGTCATTCAGTTGGTTAAGCATCTGCCTTCAGCTCAGGTCATGATTCTAGAGTCCTGGGATCGAGCCTTTCATCAGGTTCCCTGCTCAGTGGGAAACCTGCTTTTCCCTCTCCCTCTGCCTTCCCTCACCTCAAATAAATAAATAAAATCTTTAAAAATAAAAAATAGAAAATCTTTAAAAAAAAAAGATACTGTAGTTCCCATACACCTTGGTATTTTTGCACATGTTTTCTGCCCTTCTAGAATGCCATCATTAGTTTCCTAGGACTGCCATTACAAAGTACCACAAACTGGGTAGTTCAGAACAACAGAAATTTATTGTTTGGAGTTCTGGAGGCCAAAAGTCCAAAATCAAGGTGTCAGGAAACCATGCTCCCTTGAAAGCACTAGGGAGGGATCTGTTCCAGGCCTCTCCTAGCTTTGGGTAGTTCCTTGTCTTGTGGCAGCCTAACTCTAATCTTCACTTGGTATTCTCCCTGTGTATGTGTGTATCCAAGTTTTCCCTTTTTACAAGGACATCAGTGATATTGAATTAGGGACCAACCCTGCTCTAGGACAACCTCATCTTAACTAATTGTATCTGCAACAACCCTATTTCCAAATAAGGTCACAATCTAAGGTACTATGGTTTGGGACTTCAAAAGAAGACTTTTGGAAAGACACCAGTCAACCCATAACAAATGCCTGTCTGTCCATCCTTAATACCATTTCTCTTTGTAGCCGGACTCAGCCCAGACAGAGCTTATTTTCTCTGGAGAATCTTCCCTAATATCCTCTTTCCACCATCCACCACATACACATGTTCCTCCCAGACTGGGTTGGGCACCTCTCTACAGTTCACAGTGATACACTTAAGCCACTGTATTGTTGATGTCTTTGGTCACATGTCTCTTCCAGATGGGAAAGAGCTTCTAGGAGACAGAGAACAAATATTGTTCATCTTTGCATCATCTCACAAGCCTGGCATGTAGAAAGTGCTGCATAAAATGCTAGCTAAACTATTGAACAAGTGAATGAACTGTATCAATGAAAACCACCCTGCATGGAGATGTACTTTATGCAGGTCTTGCTTTAGACAGTGCTGGTCAATGTAACCTCATTTGCCAGAGCCTGTGGAGATGCAATTAGTAGGGAGAAGACATTGGTAGAAATGATATTAGTAGAGAATTAAAATCATGGGCTTGGTATTTGCCTGTGCTAAGATACACACATTATCTCATTAATCCTCCCAACAATATAATGTTGTATCATTGTTATCTCTATTGTGCAGAGGAGTAATCTGAGGCTCAAAGTTCAGTAGTTCCTCTTAGGTCCCCCAGGTGATGCGAGTTCTCTTGTTTAGGTGTCTGAGGCTATCCTCACTCTGCTGTATCACCTGAGCTGTTTGGACCAGAAGCCTCAGATCCTTTCTCCTAGGGAGTGGCTTCAGCTCTTTTGTCCTGATGCATTAGTGAATCTGAGATGCCTCGACTTACAGGATCCCAACTGGTATGGAGGTCTCCTACTCTCCTGCCCCTGTCCCCAGTTCCAAACTGGCCTCCACATCCCAGAGGATTGGCTCATGGAAATCATCAGGTCCTGGAGGCAGGATGCCACTTGGCTGCTTTGTCTGGACCATGGCTGCTTCACCCAATGCTCTATTGTGACCCTGATGGTCAGGCTGTGAGATAGTAGGCACACAGAGCAACGCTCAGACTTGGTCCCACTGAATTGAATTTGTACAGTCTCACCTGAAGGCTTTCCATTGACCTGAGTAAAGACCAGGGCCAATGAAAGGATGGAGGGATGGAAAAGCAGTACTCTGCTGCTGGTTGCCCTGCTGCTGCCCTGGATACACAGCTCCCTAGAATGTAGGTGGCTCGTGGTGTTTTTGTGTCTGTGCCTCACTGGGGCCCTTGCTCACTGGGGTGCAGGAGGATCACCTGGGGACCTTGTTCAAAAGGTCACGTTCTAGGATGCTGATTCCACAGCTCAGGGCGGGGGGGGGGGGAGCGGATCCAGGGAACTGCACTTTTATTAAGTCCTTAAAGTGAATCTGATGCCCTCCCAGGCACATGGACCAGACTTTCAGATCATTGCTCCCACAACACCTTCAACTTTGAAGTTATATGTGGAGAAGACTGAGGTGTGTGTGTGTGTGTGTGTGTCTCTGTGTGTGTGTATGCATGCATGTGTGTATTTTATGTGTATGTTAGGTCCCAGAGTTTTCCATAGTGGATGGCTGAGAGGGGTAACAAGCCTTTGAGAGGGGTAACCAGCCATCAAGCTGGAGATGAAACTAGCCACATTCCTACAGCTTCAAGGTCATGAGTAAGGGTGCTTTCTCTTTGAAAACATTCTGAAGGATCATGTAGAGCCTTATTGGCCTAATGCAAAACAGTAACATGATATAACTATAATGAAGGCAGTGTATTAATAGCTACTATGGATTCCCCCTGGGTTCTGAGAATTTCTGGAGACTTGTGTTATGTTCAGTCAGTTGTTGGTTGACAAATATTATAAACCTCTACCATGTGCCAGGAGTTGTTTTAGGAGTTGGTTTATAACAGAGAATGGCATATTCATTTCCTATACTCAGGCAGTTTTACTATCTAATGAGGGGAAGGACATATTAAACATATAAAATGAGTAAATAAGTTAATTTCAGTTCTTATTAAATGGTATAAAGCACAAATATGGGCTTATATGATGGAAGGCCTGTAGGTGGTTGTTGAGACTCTACTAGTAGGTGGTCTCAGGAAGGCTTTCAGGAAACCTCAAAAAGGCATCGAGAGCCATCTGATAAGAAGGAGACATATTTCCAAGCAGATGTGACAGCAAGTGCAAAGGCCCTGTGCAGTGAATGAGCTCAGTATGTTTTGGAGGCATACAGATTGATGTCACTGGGGCAGACAGAGTGAATGGGAAGGGGTCACTGAAGAGAGATGGGCTCAGAGGGACCAGTGGGGTCCAGACCATGCTGAGCCTTATAAAGGCAGAGGAAGGACTTTGGATTTTATTCTGGTTACAATGGGAAGCCATCAAAGAGCCTAAATAGGAGAGTGAGAAATGAGAGGTACTTGAGAAAGAGACACCGGTTGCTGCAGAGGAAATGTGTGCAGGGGCAAGAGTGAGTGAGCATGAAGGCGTGATGGTCTGGATGGGTTTAGAGCAGCAGGCATGGAGGGAAGTGGTTGGTTTCTGGATATCTTTTGATAATGCTGACTGGACTGGCTGATGCATTGGATGCCAGGAGACAGAGAAAAGGAGTTGTCAAGGATAACTCCCAGATGAATTTCTTGCCTAAGCAAACAGATGCAAAATATAACTGTGGGAAGCATATAGGAAGGCAGATTTGACTTTACTGGGGTCAAGTAAGCTGAGAGTTCTATTTGGGCCACATTAAGTTTGAGGTGCCTCTTAGACATTCTTGTGAGTAGGGCAGTTGGTTAAAGAGTTGAGGGCTAAGTGAAGAGATCTGAGAGGTCAAATGTGAGATCTTCTGTATAAAGATGATATTCAAAGTTATGGCTGGGAGGAGATACCCCAGGACATACTTTGTTAAAGTGCAAAGAGAGAGAGGTGGTCTAAGAATTGAGCCTTGGATTTTGGAAGGACAGGAAGATTTAGCAGAAGAGCATAAATATGACCATTGATGTAGGAAGACAACCAGCAAATGCTTTCTCCCACTAAAATTTTGCCCAGTGATGACCTCAGATTTCACCAAGGGTTTTGGGCAAAACTCAGACCTCTTTCTCCTTGATCCAGATTAGAGTGAAGCCAAATGCCATCCCTCTAAATCAATGTCACATGAAATGTTACATTAACTTACATTTGTGTTAAAGATGAGAACACTGAAGCTTAGAGATGTTAAATCACCGGCTCCAAGTCACACAGCCAGCAAATAATGCAAGCAACGCAGAACTTCTGACTCCAAAACTCATTTCCTTCCCTCTTCACCAGGTGCCCTGCCAGCTAGGGCAGAATCAGGAAGTTTCATGCTACGACCAGAGTGCCTTTTGCACATTTGAGTTCTGTCTCTCTGGTCATTCTTCTCGTTCTCTCATAGTCACCAACATATCCGTAGAATCTTTGGGGAGAAAGATTATTTGTCTAAGACAGCTTGATAGTATGAGCAAAGAGAAAACACTTTGGACTAAAAAGCTGAAATGAGACCTTCCTATCTTAATCTGCTTGGTCACATCCCTGGGTCTGGATCAGTCAGTCCCTTGGGAAAAATCTAGAGTCTGAAGTTATTTCATTCAGGTGGGACTTGCAAAGGGACATCTCTGAAACACCCCCAGGAATTTTGCTCTGTGGTGCTGACAGACTCAAAAATTCATTTGGTTCTCTATCTACAGAAAATAGAGCCCCCTGGGCTCCCAGGGATTCTCCTAAAATTCACAACCACAGGTCTTTTATTTTTCAAGTCAGTCCCAATTCTATGTAATTTTCAATGAAGTTGAACCATTAACATATGAAAATATAAAAAAAATCATTGTACTTGCATGAGACTTTTCATGTAAATACATGGACATTTCAGTATGCATGACGTTTGGCAGCCTGACATCAATATCAATAAAGCATTTAAAACATTGTAATTGAAGTGATATACCTCTTAAGGAAAAATTAATAAGGAGGCTAAAATATATATTTTAAATATAAGAATTTAAATAAAGATGACATTTTACATTAATGTAATTCAGGTAAAAATATTTCCCTCTCACCATTTTGAACTGTAAAAGTACAGTGTGTTAAAATGGGAAAGAACCTTAGAGATAATCTTATTAAATCCCCTCATTTTTTAAAGTTTTTATTTAAATTCCACTTAGCTAACATACAGTCTAATATTAGCTTTAGGTGTGCCATATAGTGACTCAATACTTCCATACAACCCCTGGTGCTCATCACAAGTGCACTCCTTGAGAAAACTAAAGACTCTACAGGTAGCCTATTCCCCTATAGAGAAATCCCGCAAATAATATACAAATATTTAATACAAAGAATATATAACTGGGCTCTGGACTCTCCTGAATTTCATGTTCACAGTCTCAGATTGTCCAGATCAGCCTCAATTCTGTGCAAATAACAACAATGTGGAATATAACAATATGGCAGAAGTTTTAGACTTCTGTAAGATTTTTTATATCATTCTGTAGTTTTTACCCACTGATGGTGGATCTGAACAACCCTGATACCTCATCTTTAAGAAAGTCCTGCAAGAATCTGAAGGCCCATCTGAGTCTTCTTTCCTTTCATGTTTCTTGTAAGGTTTCTTATGTTGGCCACTCATCTCTGAATATACTCCAATTGTTAATGTCATTCTTGCCTGTGTGGCTCCAGACTGACAACCATTCAAATGCTGCCATCTATGAAGTAGAGAACTTAGCAGTGATATCATGTTATCAGCATCTTATGGTTGATATTTTCATATGAAAACTTCCAAGCTCCCTTCACAGTCTAGAGCTTTGGATCTATTATTTTTCTATCTGGAGTTGCAAGGCTTTTATTGAGTTTGATATTGATGGCCCATGGCCAGGATTCAGATCTGGCCCAGATATCTTTCAATCTCAATTCTCTCATTTGTAATATTAGTTCTTGCTCAGTTTCATGTCAGGCCTTATTGTGTACTTTTCCCCCAGGATTAAGATGAGTTTTTACCCATTTAAATTTTAAAGGTATCTATTAGCACTAGCCTGGTTTGGTATCCTACTGCCAATCTAACATCCCCAGACCTTTAGCAAAAACTACTGATAGATCATAGTCCTTTTTTCTATTGCACTTAGATGCACCTTTAAACTTGTCTTACATAGAGGACTACAGATAGCCACTGCCTCCCAGTCAGACTTAGCTCTCCAGGTGAAATCTTTTCTCCATCTCACTCCATAATTGCAGGTACACACAGAGTTGAAGACCAATGCTTTGGATATAATGTCTCAACCTGTTTGATGTTCATCTTAGAGAGCAGTCATCAAATCACATACAATCATTTTAGCCAATAAGATTCTCAAAGAATTGAGCAGAGACTTTGTTGAAATATAGATATACTGTGAAAGCTATGGGCAAGAAACATAAATAATTAGACTTCAGAACCAAACACACACGACTGAAAAATCCCCATCTGCCCCATACAAGCTAAATAATCATGGGCAATCACATGATGTCTCAGAGATGATTTCTTCAACTATAAAATGGGAATAATAAAACATATCTTAGAGTTTCACTGGGAATATTAAGTGTCTCACACATATGCAAAATGCAGAAGCTGACTCATAGTAGGTATTCAATAAGTAGTAGTTATTATGTTGCAAAAGACTGATATATTAGAGATTTTAACCATGAATCCAATCTGAATCTTAATCTTCAGTAGTTTTGTTTAAACTTTCAAAAATCATTATCTTATTCAAGTATTTAGAAAATTTCCCAGAGATCCAACTTTGCTTTATTGTAGATTAATTCCAAGATTCCCTTTTCGACCCTGAAAACTCAACATTTTCATTGGAGGTTCGGGTTCAGGGTCCTTGCCGTGTGTGGTGTTCCACTGAGAATTCCTAAATGTCTTTCTTGACAGGAGCAATGTGGGTGAGGAAGATATTCCTAAGCAACAGCTCCTTATTCTCTTTGTATCTTCAAATGAAATGACACCTGTATGAGCCACTTATTCTCCTCCTGCCCAAGGCTTTCTGAATTAGGAACTCAAAGAACAGCCAATTCTTTAGGTGTGTGTGTGGGGGGGGGGCAGCATTTTGAACTAAGGTCCCTCAATTCCTGATCACCTGTACAGGTCATTAGTATGTCAAGGATTTTACCACTGATATTAAGACCTTTACTGTCCACCCTATCCATCCATCTATCCACCCATCCATCCATTTATTCATAAGTATGTATTGGGTTTCCACCATGTACCAGTCTCTAAATCAGATAATGGGGATACGAAAATTAGCAAAACATGTCTCTTGCCTTCATAGAGATTAGAATTTAATGGAGGAAATAGACTTTAGCAGTTTCACAAATAGTTAATTTCTGCTGTTAGTGGAAAGTAGGGTGTCAGGAAAGAAAGTTATATGGAGGGTAGCTTATGTAATCTTGAAAGGCAAGGAAGATTTCTTAAAGGACTTTATAATTGAGCTAAAATGTGAGGGATACACAGGAATTAAACAGGCAAAGAGCGGCATATGAGATAGAAGCCTGTCTTTCTGGTAGAGGCATGGAGAAAAGCCCTGGGGTAGGAAGGAGCATGGTACTTCTGGGTTGCTGAAGGGCCAGGAAAGTTGGAAGAGAGAAACCCAAAGGCAGAGATAAGCAGTAGCAGGGCTGGTGCTTGGCAGTGGTGGTGACATGCATTGGTTGTGGGAAAATGTGGTAGTAATGAGCGGTGTGATGAGGGTGACATGGTGGGGACATGTGGTGGTGAGGTTGTATATTGTGTTGTGTGGTGGCAAGGTAGTGTGGTGTGGTAACCTGTGATGTGGGGATATGTGATGGGGATACGTAGTACTGGTATTGTGTGGTGGTGGAGTTGTATGGCTATGGTGATATTTGGTGATGGTAACATGGGTGGTAGTGATGTGTGGTGTGGAGATGGTTTGAATAGGTATACCTTTCATATTATACATGTCTATGGAAATTTTTTAATGTCATTGTCTTTTCTCCCTATGCATAAGCATGGTTAGCAATTAGAAAGCAGTTTGCCCAGTGGTAATGAAAAGAGATTCTGGAGCCAGACTACCTAGGTTCAAATCTTGGTTCAGTTACAAACTTTTGGGTTTTGGCCAGCTGTCCTAACCCTAACAGATAATTAAATTGTTTTGTGCAAAACAGAATGGTGCCTGGCAAGTAGTAAGCACTCGATGTTTTAGATTTTATGATATTTATTTTTCTCATTACTCAAATGACATTTAGAAGACAATAAAAGATCTCAAAACAATCCTACCACATAGAAAATGCCAAAATTTTCATTCCTTTTAAGGTGCAATTGGAATTCCTAGAATTAAATTAAATGAAAAGCGGTGCCACTAATCACAGTAGGAAATACAGGACAGCAATCAGGAAGGAAGGGGCTGATCAATTTCCCTTTGCCTGTAGAATTTCTGGTGTCTGTGTCATCCAGGTATAGAATTGAAAATATAAGTCCAGAGCTAAGGAGAAGGATTTTATTATGGTCTATGCCAAGGTACCATACCACGGCCTTATTTTTCAGAGGACACTGGGGCCTATTTTCAAATAAATGAATATTCCCATTTAGGCTTCCTTACTGAAAGGCAATAAAAAGATCCAGCTCCAGGGTTTGTGGTAGTGTCTCCCTTCGCACAAGCCCTCAGAGGGAGAGCCTTCCAAAAAGCAAAGCTGTGGTGAAAGAAGGAGCCATTGTTCCCGATAAACACATCATTACAATTGTGATGCCTTTCACCAGCATTAGGAAGTATCATTCTTGTTTGATGGATCTCCTGCCTGGTGCTAGTTAACCTGGCTAAGCCACTGCTATCTGTGTGCTGGGGAGGCAAGAAGAAGGGGCACTAAACTTAAGTTTCTTCCAAGCCAACCAACCTTGACAGTCGAGCCCTGGTTCTCTTGTCCCTCTTCCTTCTTTTTGCTTTCAGTGACCTGTGGCCAAAGAAAAAGTAGCAGGCTTGAGAAGTCAGAAACTTTGGAAATCGTAGGCGGGGAACCTGCAGACATTACAGATTTTCCATGGCAGGTGAGTATTCTTCACCGCAGGAGACATATCTGCGGAGGATCGATCCTCAGCAGGTGGTGGATTTTAACTGCGGCCCACTGCTTCATAAACAGACATAAGTAAGTATTCCAGACAGACCTGTTTTAACTGATGTGCTAGAATATTTGTCCTTACATCCTTATTATTCTCCTGGAAACTCCATCCAAGTTTGTCAGTCTCAAAACGAAACACCAGGAGGCTAAATATATGCCTGTGTGATTGAATATCACACTTTGCAGGTGGTAGAGACACTGTTCTCTTCCTAGGATGTTTTACGTCTTATTTCATCGGACCCAGATGGCAGAACAAATGTTCTTTGGACTTCTCGGCATCTTGCCAAGTGCATGTGGTCCTGGTCCAAACCTTTGGAAAATACTTTCCTAAGCATTTTCATTACTTGGGGAGAAAATGAACTTGACAGTGACCATGGATTCTGAGAATCCTAGAAGGGATTGGGATCCAAGGGGAGGGTACCAGGCCTGGCTGCACGACAGAAGTTCCTGAGATGCTGTCTTAGCTCAGGTCCATACATCAATATCTTTGAGAAACTTAGGTGTTTGTTAATAGCTAGTCCACCCCTTCTTGCAAATCAAGATCAAGTCCCTCAGTTACTTGTACATAGCACGACTTTCAGACAGTTGTTAATAAAATTTACAAGTGGATTTGCCCAAGAGGCCATCAAGGCAAAAGCTGTTTGGCAATGTGGCAAGTCTGGAACTCGGGTCTCTCTTCTTCTCCCCAGTCAGGGCCCAAGTGCATGGCCCCAGCTGTCTCCATCCCTCCAGCTCTCAGGATGACAGTCTCACACTGGTGGAATTATTTTCTCTTAAGGCTCACCTTTTTTGCCTTCCACCACTTACCTTTTTGTTCTCCTTCTTTTGTTTTGACATAAGATCTGACTTGGAGATTATACATAGTGAAAGAAGCACTGGCACCAAGAAGTCGAAGAGGATGAAAGTGGACAAGCTAATTACTCACCCTTATTTTGACAGCTGGCTCTTGGATAATGACATTGCTTTGCTCTTGCTCAAATCTCCATTGAAGTTAGATGCCGAGAAAGTGCCCATCTGCCTTTCAGAGGTCACTGACATAGAGAGCTGGAGAAATTGCTGGGTGACTGGATGGGGTATTACCGGTGAGTTACTATAGCCCAACCCAGTGGGGGATGGCACCCTGGTTGATGTTTTAAATGAGAAAGTAAACTCTGAAGGCTCTTCTAGCTCTGGGAAGTCTGCCTGGTGGGTTTGGAAGCTTCCAGTTTTTATTTAAAGACCCATAATGAGCCTTAACTTCAGTCCACATGTGAATCATCCTTCTTTGGCCTTCCTGGGTTCTTGTAGCAAATTTTATGTCCATATTATAGAACACAAACCCTAAACAAGGACTCAGTGATAACCCAGGAAGAAGTGTTTAGAGTCCAAGGGTGACTTGGAGGAATTTGGGGGAATATATTGTTGGGCAAAAGAGTGGCAAAATGGACTGGGTTCCAAGAAGCCCACACTAATGTCAGCAGAGCAGCTCTGTTCCAGTTGATGGTGTCAGTTCTGATCCCCTGTAACAAAGGGTTTGGTGCCCCAAATATTTGAAAACTACAGATCCAGGCCAAGGAGAAGGGGACAAACTGAATATAAATTTGTCCTTATAGAGTCAACCTGTAACCTACACCCATCACTCCACCCAGCCAACTCATAAAATTGTGCCCTTTTGTCATTATTTTTGGTAAATATGTCTTACTCCAAAATCTAAAGAACAGAAAAAAAAATTCCAAAAAAAAAAAAAATTCCAGTCAGTGCCATTCTTCTAAGTAGACATACAAATGACAATACATTAATCCCCACATGGTCCCAAAGCTCAGAGTCTGTTTTGAATTCCTCATTGGGAATTACCTTTGGAAGCTTTTCATGAACTTTAAAAAAGACCACCTTATTAATTTAAAGTTCCTCTTGTGTCCTTCAACACATACTCATTGATCCTCTTCCAGGCAGTGTTCTAGGCTCTGGGAATTCAACAATATACAAAAAGGGAAATAGCCTGTCTTCAAAGAATAAACATTCTAGGTATTAGGTTCACCTCTTAGATAGACAGTGAATTACTCAAAAGTTCTGACATGATTTAAATCCATTTTTATGAGCCATGGGCACCAGGACAGAAATTGCCATCATGAGTTTTCTTTACTTTTTTATGGATTTAAATGAAATACCTTTTTAGGACTACAGAGTTAGCACCTTCTGCAGAGTGAGAAGAGTACACTTAGACTGGGATCCAATAGATACCCAGTTGTGGGGAGCTCTGGATTCAAAGAGGATGGGATTGAGTGTCTCCTGAACACCTCTCCACCCTCACTAAGTCCAGATTTGGGTAGTTCTCTAAGCCATACAGTAGTTCCTTTGTCATTGAGGTGAAAAGACGTGATGGTGAATGGGTGCTTGACCTCAGCCCAAAAGGACCACTTTGAGCTCAGGGGCCTTTCCCTATCTGCTTCTTCTTTGGGTCAGTTCCTATGAAAAGTATGAGTCAACAGCTAAACAAAGTCAGCCTCGACCTGGTCAAATGGGAAACATGCTCCTCTGTTATGTATGTGCTCACCAGGAACATGCTGTGTGCTAGGAATGCTGAAGAAGGGAAGGACGCCTGCCAGGTAATGGAGCTTGTCCCTTGTTTGGAGAGGGACTGCCAGAGGGCTGATGAATATTTCTGGGATAATTTGCTCCCCTCTACCGCCTCTGGATAAGTTTCCTAATAGTACAGTAACAAATTACCACAAACAGGGTGGATTCAAACAATGGAAATGTATTCTCTTATAGTTCTGGAGGCCAGAAGTCCAAAATCAAGGCATCAGTAAGGCCATGCTCTCTTTGGAGGCTCTAGGGGAGGATACCACCTGGCCTTTTCCTACTTCTGGTAGTTTCCAGCAATTGGTGGCATTCCTCAGCTTGTAGGTGAATCATTCCACTTTCTGCCCCAATCTTCACATGGACTTCTCCCCTATATGTCTGTCTCCTATTTTCTCTTCTTCTAAGGATTTCAGTTATTGGCTTAGGACCTACCCTAATCCAGTAGGACTTCATTTAATTTAACTAAATACATTTACAACAGTCCTGTTTCTAAATAGCTCACATTCTGAGGTTCCAGATAGACTTGAATTTGGAAGGGATGTTATTCAGCCCAGTACAGATGCTCTGTAACCAAAGGGAGACTGTGTGGGATAGTGGTTAGGGGTGCAGTTTCCCCTAACTTCCCTCTCAGCTCCTCTACTTACAACCTGTGACTTCCCTCCAGGCCTGTGCTTTTTCAAATTTCCTCATCTGTAAAATGGGAATGTTAAGAGTTCCTACCTTCAAGGACTATTGTGAAAATTAAGTGGGTCAATGCACAAAAGCACTTAAAACAGTTCAGATCAGAGGATGGTCATAGTAAATTCTATAAATGTAATTTTTTCCATCGCCATCTCTTACACCTGTTCAGTGCTTAAGAGCATACAAATTGCTTCCACAAATACACAAAAGGGTTGCTAACTAGCCCTGGGAAGCAGGCTTATTTCAGATGAGGAAACTGAGGATCAGAGAAGCTGACAGCCCTACAGAGGATACATTGGCAAGTTAAATTACAGACCCAGAATTCTAAGGAAGGCACTCTGTCTTCTGCGATTAGAGCCATCTTTTGGGTTCCAGTAGGAGCAGGGCTCCAAATCCATCAGCCCAGCCTGGTCATGTCCAGACTTGGATAGTTCAACAGCTACAGAAATGCTGGGAGCTCCTATTGAGTGCAGGCTTGCCAAAGAGCAGGGGAGTACAGGGCATCAGAGGTGTTGTTTCTTTCCATCAACACAGCCGCATTGCAGGAAATTTAGTTATTATCACCAGCATCAAAGCAGAGCCCTAAATGCTGAAGAACATTTTCACATTGTCTCAGCTAAATGCTCCCCCTGGCATACAAACCAAGATCTGTTGGGCTTCAGAAATAGAAGGTCTTAACTGTGCTGCTGTTCTGCCTCATATCCTTCACGTAGATCCCCTCATCTCCACAGAAGAGATTGTAATTCTTCATTTTCAAGAAGGGTCAGGGGACTTTCCAATGACCTCAAAGAATTGGGTAAAGAAGAGTTTGGTTCAAAGTTAGCTGATGGGCACAGTGATCGTTCATAACAATCTGGTTTAGAAAAAAATCAAAGAAACCCCTATCTTGTTTGTTTGGTTTTATTTGTTTTGGATTTTGGGTTTTTGTCATACTACTGAATGGTACTTCTTTCCAACTTTTTTGTGTCTCACTTAACATTTTCAAAAATAAGTCTTTGTAAGCTGTGAAACAATATATAATAAAATAAATAACAACTATGTATTCATATTTGCATACTCAAGGTTGTGGACAATTATATTTGACTAAGGGGTTGCCTCTGCATGGCTAGAATTAGAAATGTTATTTATTTCATTTATTTATTTGAGTGCATGGTAGGGAAAATTCAAATGTTATAGATGGATGTACAGTGAAGCAGAAGTTTACCTCTTATGCTTGTTGTCCTGTTCACTCCCCAGAGAAACCATTTTTACAGTGTTACCTTTTATCTTTCCTGAAATAGTCTTTTCACATATAATCATATGTGTGTTTATATATAAATTCACTTAATTATATAATTATGGGCATTCTTCCTGTTCTTTTTCCATATCTGAGATTTCTAATTTTTTTGATGAAGGTACATAATTTTTAATAGAATTTAGTAAGTCACAGAGATGAAAAGTATAGCATACAGAATATAGTGAATAGTGTTGTAATTACATTATATGGTGACACTTAATGGCACTGTATAATACATAGAATCATCATATGACTATGTTGTGCACCTGAAATTAATATGACATTGTATGTCAATGATACTTTAAAAATTTTTAAATAAAGAAATGGCCCAAAGATTTGGGGGCATTGAAAGATTGTGTGTTCCTCAATTTTCATGTCAATGATGTCCATTCTCCTTACTTGTCCTTATTTAACAATCTTTTTCATGATGATTTAAAATTTATAAATTGTTTCAAATTTAATGCTTTAAACCACAATATAACATTTTGACTCACTTTTTGTATCATTCGCATTTTATATGTATCAGTTTATGTACTTGCTGTATTCAACCAATTACCTATTATGAGGTATAATGGAAATTTGTTTTTGTTTTTTACTTTTTGTTATTATGAACTATATAGAAAGACCAAAATGGGTTGGCTGAAAGTAGTTTTAAAGTACAAAGGCAGTGAGAAAATTGTAAGAATTCTGGAAATCAACTTTTGTTGTTGAGGTAAAATGGATTAAAAAAGCACTCATTGGTACATGAAAATGAACACATGCGACTCGATGCTGATGCTGATGATGATGATGGATATTCTTTTTTTTTAAATCAAACTATCATTCATTGCCATTGTTTTTGACCAAATTGTTTGCCACTTTGTCTGACAGTCATGGGGCTGGGAGTATAGTCATGAAGTTGGAGAGCCAAACCAACTGTCCTCTCACCAAAAGACACTATAAATGCTTTTTGCCTTGTGCCAGTTGTCCACACCTCAATAGGCTATAGAAGTAATTTGTTACTGTCCCTTCCATTCCCAAACAACTTTTTTCTCCTAGGGTGACAGTGGGGGACCTCTGGTTTGCCAGAAAAAAAACAACGAAAGCATATGGTACCAGCTGGGCATTGTCAGCTGGGGAGAGGGCTGTGGCCAGAAGGAAAAGCCTGGGGTGTATACGAAGGTGTCTAATTATCTGTTATGGATTAACACGGAGACCACGCTCTCAGGAAGGCCCTATATGCATGAGCCAGACTCTGGGTACAGTTTGCTTCAATCACCCTGGGCCATCTTGTTACTGTATTTTGTGATACTTCTATTACACCTGTGATTAAACACTGTAGAGCCTCAAAACCAAGTGTCCTCGGTTTTTGGAATAAGGTCAATGGTGGGGTACAAGGGATTCTCATAGGATTAATTGTGTCTGAAATAGTCATATACTTATAATACACCTGCGACCTACTGCAGAGCCAACTGTTCCCTTGGAACTTGGAGGCAGGTTACCAACTTCATCTTAAGGCCTCTCCAAAGGTCTGGATGGAGAACCTTTGCATGGACAGGGGGCATGCCAAGGATCTCTGAAACAGAAATCCTATTCTTTTCTCTCCTATAAACAGATATCCTTCCACAGATTCTTTCCAAAGGAGTAGACAGTCCACCCGCTCCTTTTTTGGTCTTAAAATAACATTCCAACTCTTCTCACTTCCTTCATTTATAGCTAATCCCTGAGACCTACAGATTTGGTCTTCAGAAAGATCCTATTCTTCACCTTCTTTTGCTTCCATAGCTACCACCTGGTTCAGAGCCCATTAACTACTGCTTTGGGCTCTCAGAGGTCATGTGGAACAATGCTCTGATTCAGAATCAGGAAGTCATTGAAGTAGAAATGTCCTAGAGATGAAGTGGGAAAGAAACACACAGCTAAATGGGTTATAGTAGTCAAGGCACCTTTGCAGGCAAACATCAGAAACAACCTGAAGCAAAAAAGGAAATGATAAATATATTGGGGTAGAGCAAAATCAAAGGGATTACTGTTAAATAGTAAATAGTAAATAGTATATTATATAGTAAATTAAATAGTGTCTAAAAACAGTCCAAGACTACATTTTGGACCATCGGAAAGTGTAGATGGACCCTCCATCCTTCATCCTTGCATCCTCCATCCTTCATGCAATCACCCATTGTCCAACTGGACAAGAGGTAATAAATGGCATTCTTTTCTGAGGCAATTAAGCACATTTTTGAGGAGAGAGGGAAAAGCTGTACTCAAAAAGATGGGTGTTTTTATATGAGTTTGCCTGAAGTAGAATTCCTTTTGCTGTGAATAACAACAACAACAAAATAAAATAAAAAGGTGAAATGTTTTCTGCATATACATAGTGAAAGGGAAGAAAAGAGGATGAACAGAATTCTCTGTGTTTTCATTGGCTGCATCAGAAGAGGACAGTTTCGCCGCCATCTGAATCTAGAGAGTGGGTGGAGAAGCATTTCAATAGATGAGAGCAGGTATGTAGTTGTTTTGCCGAAACTGCAGAGCTACCCTAAACTTTTGACTATTGGTAAGCAGGGAAATACAGCTACAAGCAGATGGATGACTGCTCCTGAAAAAGGTAGGTTTATAAAAATTTCCTCTTTTTCATGAAAGAAGCAGCTGTGACAGCAACTTGACCTTCAACTTGGCCTCCAGAGGGCAGAGGCTGGGAGAGACTGAGAAGCCAGTCCTGTGCCCTCAGCTCAGGGCAGAGGCTGACAGAGAGGTTGAAACAGCCTGGCCACTCAGCCAGGATCCTGGGAAAGGAAGTGTGTGCAGGAAGAGGGCTGCTTTGACTCCATTACAAAGCATGTCTGATTTTTGACAACCCTGCAAGGAAGAAATAAGAGCTCAAACTACTAACTTTTTCCTTTAAATTGAGGTATAAATTACATAGAGGGACATGCCCAGTTGCTTATATATTGAGTGTGTGTGCTTCAACAGATGTATATATTTACGTATATATTTATTATTTATTTAGCTTATGTTTATTTATTTAGCTTTAACATTAAGTTTATGATCTATTTTGAAATAATTTCCATGAATGATGTGATATGGATCAAGATTCATTTCTTCCATATACACAGCCAATTTAGTTGAAAAGACCTTCTTTTCACCCATTAAATAGCCTTGGTGTCTTGGTTTAAATCAGTTTACCATAAAATATAAGTGTGGGTCCATTTGTGGGATTGTTTTGTTTTGTTTGCTGTCCTGGGTAGTCTGGAATTAGGTGTCTAATTTGGGTTTTATTTGATATCTGATTTGTTACCACTTGAAAATAGGACATAAGTAGTCTGTGGCATGTACTCATTTAATTATCACCTATAGTGTCTTAGAATGAATTAACAATTGAAAGCAAACGGCAGACCAAATTGCCGTTGAAATGAACCATTATAATAGAATGAGAAATACAACGGACTGCATGGAGCACTGGGTGTGGTACAAAAACAATGAATACTGTTATACTGAAAATAAATTTTTTTTTAAGATTTTATTTATTTATTTGAGAGAGAGACAGTGAGAGAGAGCATGAGCAAGGAGAAGGTCAGAGACAGAAGCAGACTCCCTGCGGAGCCAGGAGCCCAATGCGGGACTCGATCCCAAGACTCCAGGATCATGACCTGAGCCGAAGTCAGTCGTCCAACCAACTGAGCCACCCAGGCGTCCCCTGAAAATAAATTTTAAAAAAAGATTAAAAAAAAAAAAGAAATACAAAGGCTATGGGAGCAGCCTAACTACCTAGAATAAAGCTTAAAGAAACTAATAAACTCAGGGTTTTATGTTTTGGGCTTAAGCCATAGTCAAAGAACCAGATAGTGTCTCTATCTGCTATATGAAAAGTATCTTCTCTCTTGTAGCTGCAGAGCCAATGCAGCCAAAATTTAAGTCCCTAGTCTAATGGCAGTGGTTGCATAAATACAGTATAAATTGAATTCATAGCCTCTATAGGTCTCTCATACAAAAGATAGGACTGGGGGAAGAGTAGAAACCTGAAAACTGAAATAGGATATTAGAGTGGATTTATATGCATCTATTTTTAAATGGAGGTATTATCATCATTATTCACATATGGTGAAATCAACAGATCAGGAGACAACTGTCATTGAAAAGATAGTTTATTACAGGTTGGAAGAAGATGGAGCACAACACACTATGTAAGACCACCTGGGGAAGCAACAGGATTGGTAAAGATGCAGAAGAAGCAAAGGGAGAAGGTGGGCAAGAGCATTTCTGTGGTTTTTGCAGGAAAGAATGAGAGAAGCAGGCTAAGCAAGCTAAGCTGGTTTGGGAATGGCTAATTTGAACAATTTCAGCAGGCTCTAGGGTGTAGGGACTGCCTTCAATTAACAGATGGTGGCTCTGAGGTGATTAGGACAGGGTGTAAGGGTTCAATAAAGGGGAATGATTAATACAGTGTCTGAGTATTTTGACCTAACATATCCCACTGAGTCTCACTTGCTAGCAGAAAAATCCTTCTTCTCCGACAACTCCAGCTATCCTCTGATTGAAAGTACTGTAATGACCTCACATGAGGCAGTTACCTTATAAATAATGCTATTTTTCCTCAAGACTCAACCCACCAACTCTCACGACCTCCAGTTTCTAAATACAGTTTAGTTTCATAGTATCCCACAGGAAAAAGTACAAATAATGGGAACTGGGAGGACATTAAACAACAAAAAGGTGGCAGAATTTTGCTAACATATTAGAATAAAGCTGCAAAATATTGTTAAAATAAAGTCTAGGGGTGCTAGAACAGGAAGGAATGAATGTAGCACCAGATGGGGCCAAATTTTTCAATATTGTTAACATCACAAATTCTGGATTCAATAAACTGATTTTAAAACTTGTGAGTGAGTGGCTTTAATATTCTGCTTGCTTGGTTAATTAAAACCTACATTTAAAGGGGGCCTATATTAGATGTCCCACTGACAAATGGATAAAGATGTAGTATACGTAAATACTGGAATACTATGGAATAATATGCAGCCATCAAAATACATACTGTCTTGCAGAGTGGCTGCACCAGTTTGCCTTCCCACCAATACTGCTCGAGAGTTTCTTTTCCTCTACATCCTCACCAACCCTTGTTCTTTCTTGAGGTTTTCTATTATTATTTTAGCCATTCTGAGGGGTGTGAGGTGATATCTCACTGTGGTTTTGATTTGCATTTTCCTAATGATGAGTGAAGGCATCTTTTCATGTCTGCTGGCCAACATCTGGATGTCTTCTTTGGAGAAATATCTATTCATGTCTTCTGCCCATTTTTTAATTGGATTATTTGCTTTTTTGGTGTTGAGTTTTGTAAATTCTTTATATATTTTGGATACTAACCTTTTATTGGATATGTCATTTGCAAGTATCTTCTCCCATTCAGTAGGTTGTCTTTTAGTTTTGTTTCTTGTTTCCTTTGCTGTACAAAAGCTTTTTATTTTGATGAAGTCCCAATAGTTTATTTTTGTTTTTATTTCCCTTGCCTCAGGAGACTAATCAGAAAGATGTTGTTATGGTCAATGTCAGAGAAATTACTGCCTGTGCTCTTTTCCAGGATTTTTATGGTTTCAGGTCTCACATTTAGGTCCTTGATCCATTTTGAGTTTATTTCTGTGTATGGTGTAAGAAAGTGGTCCAAATACATTCTTTTGCATGTAGCTGTCCAGTTTTGCCAACACCATTTGTTGAAGAGATTGTCTTTTTCCCATTGCATATTCTTGCCTCTTTTATTGAAGATTAATTGATCATATAATTGTAGGTTTATTTCTGGGCCTTCTATTCTGTTGCACTGACCGATATGTCTATTTTTGTGCCAGTGCCATACTGTTTTGATTATTATAGCTCTGTAATGAAGTCTGGAACAGTGATACCTCCAGTTTTGTTTTTCTTTTTCAAGATTGCTTTGGCTATTAAGGGTCTTTTGTTGTTCTCTACAAATTTTAGGATGGTTTGTTCTACTTCCATGAAAAATGCTGTTGGTATTTTTATAGGGATTGCTTTGGGTAATATGGAAATTTTAACAATATTTGTTCTCCCAATCAATGAGCATGGAATATATTTCCATTTCCTTATATCATCTTTAATTTCTCTCATCAATATTCTATAGTTTTCAGAGTGCAGCTCTTCTGCCTCTTTGGTTAAGTTTATTCCTAGCTATTTTGTTATTTTGGGGGCAATTGTAAATGAGATTGTGTTCTTAATTTATCTTTCTGCTGTTTTATTTGTATATAGAAATGCTACAAATTTCTGTACATTTCTCCGCTTGACTTACTTTAGCTCTCGGGTTACATCCCTATTGATCCAAATGGTAGGTATTCATCGTTTCTAATATCTGAATAATATTCCATTATATATATGTATCACATCTCCTTTATGGTTTCACTCATATGTGGAACATAAGCAATAGAATGGAGGACCATAGGGGAAGGGAGGGAAATCCAAAGGGGGAGAAATCAGAGAGGGAGGTGAACCATGAAAGACTATGGACCCCAGGAAACAATCTGAAGGTTTCAAAGGGGAGGAGGTTGGAGGGAGTGGTAATAGCGTGATGGGTATTTAGGAGGGCATGTGCTGTGATGACCACTGGGTGTTATACTTATCTAATGAACCACTGAACACTACATAAAAAACTAATTATGTACTATACAGTGGCTAAATGAATTAATAAAAAAATTTTTTAAGTTCTGTACATTGATTCTGTATCCTGTGACTTCACTTAATTTGTTTATCAGTTTTAGCAGTTTTTGGGGTGGAGTCTTTTGGGTTTTCTATATATAGTGTCATGTCATCAGCAAATAGTGAAAGTTTTCCTCATGCCTCACAAATTTGGATGCCTTTTATTTTGTTGTTGTTGTTGTCTGATTGCTGTGGCTAGGACTTCTAGTACTATGTTGAATAAAAGTAGTGAGAGTGGCCATCCTTGTGTTGTTCCTGACCTAGGAGAAAAGCTCTCAGTGTTTCTGTATCGAGGATGTTGTTAGCTATGAGTTTTACGTATAAGGTCTTCATTATTTTGAGGTATGTTCCCTCTAAAGCTACTTTGTTGAGGGTTTTTGTCATGGATGTTATACTTTGTCAAATGTTTTTCTGTATCTGTTGAAATGACTATATGATTTTTATCTTTTCTCTTATTGATGTGATGGATCATGTAGATTGATTTGCAAATATTGAACCATGTTGGCATCCCAGGAACAAATCCCACTTGATCATGGTGAATTTTTTTTAATGTATTGTTGGATTTGGTTTGCCAATATTTTGTTGAGGATTTTTGCATTTATGTTCATTAAGGATGTTGGTAGTTCTCTTTTTTTGTGGTGTCTTTCTCTAGTTTTGATATCATGGCATGCTGGCCTCATAGAATGAGTTTGGATGTTTTCCTTCCTCTTCCATTTTTTGGAAAAGTTTGAGAGTAGGTATTAACTATTCTTTAAATGTTTGATAGAATTTGCCTATGAAGCCATCTAGTCCTGAACTTTTCTTCATTGGGAGTTTTTTGATTATGGATTCAATTTCATTGCTGGTAATTGGTGTGCTTAAGTTTTCTATTTCTTCTTGTTTTAATTTTGGTAGGTTGTATGTTTCCAG